AACATGTTATTTGTTCTCTTAATTACCTATTATTTTATAAAAATGTTTGTAAGGATATGGACATCAATGAATGTCACATATCTATTTATCATGACTATGGCACGTTTTAGCGATTATGGTGTGGAGGGAGTGATTTAAAACTTGGCATAGCATTAGGGTGTCTGCATTTCATGGCGTTTTAAAATAATTACAAGTTTTATTCAGGAGAGTATGCTCGGACATGAAATCGACAGGAGCATTGGAAAAAAAGATTCGTCATTTGCAGATGGAGCACAAAGTACTGGGCTATAAAAATAAACTTTCCAATGTAAGCTTGTTGAGGACGATTTCCCTCTCCAGAAATATACACTGAATTCAAATAAACCAAGTTTTCACTTCCCAGGTAAACGTTCAGCGCAACCAGCGTTAACCTGTTGCCACACGGCATCGACAGACAGTAAGTGCACTGCAAAGCTTAGGACTTTTTCGTCATATGAGGCAATGTGTGAATTGTAAAATAAATTGTCGAATCCATTTTGATTCAATAGTCCGGACATAAGCAGACCCGACATACATTATTTGTTTACATTCCTTAGGTTACGGACTGCTAAAATTTACAATTTACATATCCAAATATATCGGCATTATGATAGTCTTACTTAGAGGAAATTAATTATTCCACGAGAATCAGTGAGCGCACTGAAGAAGGTCGTACAGGTCCCAGACTTGCCATGGCTCAAAGGCATTAAGCGGGCCTCCTGTATAGAGGTGCTTCCACGGGGCCCACCGCCGCCCTGGTATTGACAAGAATCATGGTGTTTATCCTCCTCTTCATCAAACACGGGCTATAGCATAACTGTCTGCCTCCCATATCTCTAAATTCATTATTTCAATAGTCATGCAAATGTATGTGTCTGAAGAGAATTTCTCGAAGGCAGACGAGAGATGTCTTAATTTTTCAGTTTAAATGTGGAAAATGCAACGAAAATTAAAGTTTTATAAAAAGTTATTTTTTTGGCACTGGCTGCCTCGACCACTTCGGTCAACGTGTCGTTTTTGAGAGTTTTATGATTCATCACCTCCACAAGCACACTGATTTCCAGTAAATAATCTGATCGCTCACTGTCGAACAATTTCTATCTGATTTTCTTAAATGACAAGCTGTCGTCATACCATAATCGCCGTGCACACAACGACGTATGCCAGCGTGTCCTCAGATTGCATCGAACGGCAGTGTATGTTTGTCCGTAGTCGATGCTCTGTGACATTTTCTAGGGAGCTGTAATGATCATGAGGTCGCATTGGAGGAATGGTTGACGTAGCAAGTAACCCTATTGTTATTGTGTGTTGTTTCGATGCGACGTCATTTGCCCGTCCGGCGCCTGCTTCGATTGATGTAATGGCTCCGCTGCTTATTAATTTAAAGAAGGGCCAGCAGGTATAGTCATTCAACTTTGTGACTGCTGACGCTCTGCGAGGTGGTCCAATGCTGCAGAATATTGTGCAAGCGCACACAATGTTTTTTTAAACACATGGTGCTTGTAGATGCAGTGCACAATCTGTCCGTTACCAGTGACTTTTCTAAATTTCGTAATTTGCAGTAGGCCGCTGACAGAATAGACTTCAAGGAAGAGAAGCTATTATTATTTTTTCAAGCTTCCAACATTAGTTGAACATTGCATTTATAATAGTCTAGTGAGTATTGAGTCGTCATATCCGGATGGTCTGTCAACAGCGAATGTGCTTTAGTTACGGCCATCCCAGATCTCGCTTAGGTGCTTCGTGTGCGTGAGTGTTTCATCCATTAAATGCTAAGAGGCGGAAGCCCATAAAAGTGCTTCCCATTTTTTTCACACATCACCTCAAAAACAGCAAACTTTATCTTAAGGCAGTGATGTGGGAACTCTAGCAGTTGTTATGCCTTCTCAGGTTTGTATCAAACGTCAAAATAGTAAGCTGAAAATTGACTTTCCGTGTCAACGAAATGGTTGATGTGGATGATATTCACTGAAACAGACGAGCTCATAGAATACAATGCATTCAATGGCTTCTAACTAAAGGTATTTTGTAGGTTCTAGAATTTGAAGCAACTTTCGTATTGGATCATTCAGACAAAAAAATTGGGACGAAAAAACACCTTTACTAACAAGCCAGGAATCCGGCCATTAGAGGATCAGTGGTTGTAACGAGAAACTAAAAACTATGTGTGCTTGCTTTTAGCGCTGAATTTTTTGAACATCATAATAGAGTAAGGAGGCAATGTTAAAGGAACTGGCGTTCTACAAAATCAATGAGACATTTGCTTGACATTTCGATTTCGGGGTCATACACGTCTGTTAACAGATACCGGTTGCGACCTAGTTTAGGTAGGCAGACGATAATGCAACGATGCCATTGGTTACATTCTTAAATCTGGACACCAGATACATGTGCAGGTTTGAACGCTATTCATCGAAAGTCGAAGCATGTTCGTCAAATTGTCCTTTGAATCCCTTTTCAAGCGTTTTGTTAAGATGGAAGCCTATGGTTTAGAGCAGCTAGCTGCTCTCGAAATTTCGCCATCATTCGTCAAAAATTCGGGCGCGATGTGCTTCGGACAGCCCGCACTTGGGCGTTATTCTCTATTCGAGGGACAGCAACATTCGAGCAGTTACGTTTTCTGCACCGATGTCTCCAAGGCGAACTAATCCTACGATGCCTGAGATATAAAACTCCTGTAAATAAGGCCATGGGAAGAGACTTTGTGAGGCGGTTTGTCAAACAGATGAAAATAGTTCTGATCGACGACTGTCATCGGTGTTTGCAGAAGTACAAGGCTGAGATTGAGGAGAACAGAAGGTAGTGTGTCCACACTCTCGGCGATTCTATCGCCGCAGATCTTGGGAAGACGACCTCTGCTCTTGCACACCACAGGCAAGCAAAGAAGAGAAAAGTTTTGGAACGGAAACTGACTAAGCTAAACCACCAGGCACAGAAAACTCAAACTTGGTCCACAACCTCTCGTCTAAGCAGCTTACTGAACAGCATTTACGAGTGTAACAACATAAAACTTGTTTCAACACTGCAGATGCCGATCCTGTCGACTTCATTGCAGCCCTGGGAGCTATGCTGGTGAGAAGTGAATCATCCGACGACATGAAACACTCCGTTCGACAGCGTGTTATCTCCTTGCTGATGACACACAGACCAGCCAAATGTATTTTACAGAGTGAGTCAAAGGCTATGAGGGAACTGAGGAGGGACAACATCATTATCATTCTACCTGCTGGCAAGGGACGATCAACCGTCGTGATGAATAGAGAAGACTATAATGAAAAGGCTAAAACCCTTCTTGATGACAGAGAATTTTACAGACCAGCACATAAGTCACCAGCCAAAGCAGTGGCAGATCGGCTGAGAAAACTGCTTAGAGAATAACGAAATAAAAATGTGATCCTGGACAATGAATGGAACCAAATGAAGGCAACTGACACCGCTCTAGCCCGATTCTATGGTCTGCCAAAAAACCATAAAGCAAATCTCCCACTTCGGCCAATCGTTGCCCTAAAAGGCAGCCTCACCTACAATTTAGCAAAGTGGATTTACTCAAAACTGAAGTTCCTCCAAGGCAATTCGACTACCTCAGTTCGATCAGCCTCTCATTTCCTCCAAGACATCCGAGGTCGAAGACTTCAATCGGACGAAATCATAGTCTCCTTCGATGTGACGTCGTTATTCACATCCATTCCACCAAACGCGGCCCTCAAAGTCTTACGCAGGAGACTTGAAGAGGCGTACGATGAGACTCAGAATGCGCTCAAAATTAAACACCTCATGAGGCTGTTTGAATTCAGCCAAAAAACATTTTTCACTTTTGCAGGAAAGACCTATGAACAAATCAAGGGAACCCCGATGGGGTCACTGGTCTCCGGTTTGGTGGCAGAACTGGTCCCACAGGAGTTAGAAAAGATCGCCTTCCTCCAACATAAACCGGTGTTTTGGCGCCGTTACGTTGACGACACGTTCGTCATCGTAAAGAAGGACTTGCTACAACATTTCCAAAGCCTGATCAACACAGTCTACCCTGATATAAAATTCACGAGAGAAGAAGAACAGGAACAGTAGTTGTCCTTCCTGGATGTGCTCGTCAGACGAAACCTTAACGGTGAACTTGAAACGACTATGTATAGGAAGGCTACAAACACTACACAACTTCTCAGTTTTCACAACAACCATCCGGTGGCTCACAAACGAAACTGTGTGAAGACGATCTTCAAATGGATCCAAAGTCATTGCAGCAAACCAGAGGATAGAGCACGTGAGGCCCGTTGTCTCCGCGACCAGTTTGTCCAAAATGGCTATCCGATGGTATTCATAAGTCGCTGCCCACGCGGTCGCTACCAGAGAACTCGAACATCAACGCCACCGACGATATTGCATTCTCTGCCATACATCAAGGGTGTTTCAGAAGCGACCGAGCGCATTGCTGCGGCGCTAGGTGTTGGATTTGCACACCGTCCCAAAGCCACCATGCGCAACAGGGTCATGAAAATCAAAGACCGGTTAAAACGTGAAGAGCAATCTGGAGTAGTGTATCGCTTTCCGTGTCAAAATTGTCCTTGTAACTACACAGGACAGACTGGACGCATGCTCGGATCGCGCATACACGAACATAAGCTGGTTGTGCGACGATGAGACGCATTATCACAAGTGGCTGCCCACAACAACGAAATGGGCCACGAGTTTGACTTCACTGCCACCAAAATAGTCGTTCACGCCGGAAACAAAACAGGCCGAGAATTGATTGAAGCCTGGGCCTCGGATAATAACTCGTCAATAGATTTATCGATCTGGCGCGGGCGTACAGAGCACTTCGTGGTCACCTCTAGTCGTGAGACGTGGGTCAATGATTGGGCCTACGTGCCTTATAACTGCCGCCTATCCTGTTTCTGCCACTACCTCTGACGATGGACTCCTGTACGAGTGTGAAAGCGCAGGATAATAACCGAAGTGTTCCGGTGCTCGACTGTACTTCTTCACTTATGTATTCACCGGCACAGGAGGAGACCACAAGCAATGAGCTAGCTCAACGGCTAGACAACCTTCCTATCGCTGCCGCCGCCGACGACGCCGCCGACAACGCCGCCGCCGCTGCCGAGAACGCCTCCGTGGAGAACCGCTGGTGTCAACTGCGTGACACAGTCCAGTCGACGGCGCTCGCCGTCCTCGGTCGCGCTCCCCGACAACACCAGGACTGGTTCGACGACAATGACGCTGCCATCAGAAATCTGCTTGCCGAGAAGAACCGCCTACATAAAGCCTACGTAGAGCACCCAACTGAGGGCAACAAAGCTGCCTTCTACCGCAGTCGCCGACAGCTTCAGCAACGACTGCGCGAGATGCAGGACGCCTGGACTGCTCGCAAAGCTGAGGAGATCCAAGGCTACGCGGACCGCAACGAATGGAAGAACTTCTTCTCCGCGATCAAAGCTGTCTACGGTCCGCCGACGAAGGGCACGGCTCCTCTCCTCAGCGCCGACGGCAGCACTCTCCTGACTGAGAAGACGCAAATCCTGCAGCGATGGGCCGAGCACTTCCGAGGCGTCCTCAACCGCCCTTCCGTCATCTCCGACGCCGCCATCGCCCGCTTGCCGCAAGTGGCGACCAACGCGGACCTCGACCTCCCGCCATCTCTCCAGGAAACGATCAGGGACGTGCAGCAGCTCTCCAACGGGAAAGCACCCGGATCGGACGCAATCACTGCTGAGATCTACAAGCACGGAGGTCCCGTACTGATGGATCACCTGACTGCGCTCTTCCAGGAGATGTGGCGTCAAGGTGAAGTCCCGCAAGATTTCAAGGACGCAACTATCGAGCACCTATACAAGCGCAAAGGGAATCGCCAAGTCTGCGACAATCACCGCGGCATCTCCTTGCTGAACATCGTCGGGAAGATCATCGCTCGCATCCTGCTCAACCGCCTCAACAACCATCTGGAACAGGGCCTTCTGCCGGAAGGCCAATGCGGCTTCCGTCGCCATCGTGGAACCACGGATATGATCTTTGCAGCCCGCCAACTTCAGGAGAAGTGCCAGGATATGCGGACCCACCTGTACTCTACCTTCGTGGACCTGACGAAAGCCTTCGACACGGTGAATCGTGAAGGACTGTGAAAGATCATGCAGAAATTCGGCTGTCCGGAGCGATTCACTCAGATGGTGCGTCAGCTGCACGACGGTATGATGGCGCGAGTCACGGACAACGGAGCTGTCTCAGAGGCATTCGCAGTGACCAACGGAGTGAAGCAGGGCTGTGTGCTGGCGCCTACCCTCTTCAGTCTCATGTTCTCTGCCATGCTGATGGACGCCTACCGCGACGAACGCCCTGGAATCCGCATCGCCTATAGAACGGACGGTCATCTCCTGAATCGCCGGCGCATGAACTTCCAATCGCGTGCATCCACAGCCACCGTGCACGAACTCCTCTTCGCCGACGACTGCGCCCTGAACACCACCTCAGAAGTGGAGATGCAACGGAGCATGGACCTATTCTCCGCCGCCTGCGAGAACATTGGGCTGGTTATCAACACGCAGAAGACGGTGGTGATGCATCAGCCGCCTCCCAGCTCAGCCACAGCCCCCAACGCGCCGCAAATCAACGTGAATGGGACTCAACTGCAAGTGGTAGAGAACTTCCCGTATCTGGGCAGCACGCTCTCCCGCAACACCAAGATCGACGACGAAGTCGCCAACAGGATCTCGAAAGCCAGTCAAGCCTTCGGTCGCCTCCAAAGCACAGTTTGGAATCGTCATGGTCTCCAACTGAGCACAAAGCTGAAGATGTACAAGGCCGTCATCCTGCCGACGCTACTGTACGGAGCAGAGACCTGGACGGTGTACACGAGGCAGGCACGTCGACCAAACCACTTCCACCTCAGCTGTCTCCGCCGCATCCTGAGGCTGAACTGGCAGGACCGCATCCCCGACACCGAAGTGCTGGAACGGACGGGAATTCTGAGCATCTACTCCATGTTGAGACAAATGCAGCTGCGCTGGAGCGGCCATCTGGTGCGCATGGACGACGAGCGACTACCCAAACGACTCTTCTACGGAGACGTCGCGACGGGTTCTCGTCGTCAAGGAGGCCAAATTCGCCGTTACAAGGATACTTTGAAGTCCTCCCTGAAGCGCCTGCAAATCAACCCGACCAACTGGGAAGAGCTCGCCCGCGATCGTCCGACTTGGAGGAGAACAGTGAAGACGGGCGCTGCCATCTACGAAGCCAACCGCATCGCCGCCGCCAAAGTGAAACGTGAAGTCCGCAAATCACAACTTCGCCCAATACGCAACGCTGCCGCACAACCTCTCCCTACGTGTCCTCGATGTCAACGGACATTCCGGGCACGAATCGGACTTGTTGGACATCTTCGAACCAACTGCACCTCTCGAACTGCTCCAGCCATCGTCCCCGCGCCCGCCTCTTCCTCGTCCTCTCTTCCGCCAACTAACTCTGACACTCCTTCTGCACCACCACTTCCATCCTCCTCCTTCTCCTGCACTGCCCCAGCGGTGGCCGTTCAGGCTGCCGTCTCACACATCGCCAACCACGACACAGCAACCGCAACCACCCCCACCTGCCCTCACTGCGACCGCACCTTCACCTCATACAACGGCCTGGCCGGTCACTTGCGAATCCATCGCACAGAGACTGGTGAACCAGTGCCTGGAGCACCAACCTACACCCACCGCACTCGCCTCCACTGCCCACAATGCCCTCGCACCTTCCGGCATCGCATGGGCCTATTCGG